TGTAGATTCGTAAGACAATAATTGTAGATTCATGACGAATCTACAGTTACAGTAGATTTGTGTTGACAAGAGGGTAGGCTCACATCCACTCCTCTCCTCGTTTCTATCATCAAAGTGTGACCGAAGGATCAGGTTGGGTAAAAGTAACCAATGGAGTGCTGCCATGACTCTGATTGTACTGGGCCTCGCAATAGCTACAGTTAACAAATTTAAGAGATACCGGGAATGCCCAAACCCCAGCCTTATTGTGTAGGTTAGCCTTTCTCTATAGAAAATGACAAAGGTTGTTATCCCTCGTGTTTTCAAGATGGATGCTTTGTAAAACAAAATTTTCAACAAGGATTTAAATTTTCTCTTCACCTTTCAATAAGGAATTATCTTGATGTATTTTGGCTGCATTTCTGTGTCTAGGCTTTGCCCACTCTCTTTTTTATAGTGTTGGATTATAGCTTAATTGAATTGACACATCTTCTAGCTGTCCCAAGATCATAGCGGTACTGAGTTGACAGATCTGTCAGAATGGCTTCTCCCCGAGCACATATATAATCTTTCTTGAAGAGTTAGCCCGAAAATTTTCTTGTATTGCTAATTTTTGTAGCGCTACAAACTATTTTAGGAGGAAATGTGCGATTTATAGAAATTCTTAAATGTTATTATTTAACTCCAAAATTGTCATTGTAATTTGAATCCAAAGTTGCTCATTCTCCAAGTGAAATAGCAATCTGTAGTGAGGGGGCATTTCGGAATGATTCATATATAAGAACATGGATTAGTATCAGTGAAGCTCATTTTGAGTGGTTTGTAAAGTGGTTCTAAAAGTGCTAACCATACTTTCACGAGGTTATAGCATTCCGCAATTTCATAGAGTCCTATAGTGGTTTTAGTCCGGAAGGTTTCACTGCAATGACACATGTATAATAATGAATCCAAGGTGCAAGATGAAGAGAATACAGGTATATATCCAGCACTGAGTGTCGACTGCAGATATACTCTCACAAAGTTGATATAGCATTCCTCAATTTCATAGAGTCCTGTGGTAGTTGGACCGATAGGTTTGGCTGCAACGACACACGTGTAACAATGACTCCAAGGTGCAAAAGGAAGAGAAGCAAGTATGTATTCAGCACTGACGGTGTTGACTGCACCAATACTGTCGATGTTTGACTTAGCCCAAACCTGTGCATGTTGATGAATGAAACAGGTGTGCACTCAGGCATAGGGTAACAGCAAGAGCGTCATAGACCGGAGACTCCATGTTCATATAACAATGGGAAATAGTTTAAGTCAGAGACTTGGAACTAAAGATTTGTGCAAGAATGGGCTCAGCTTCACCTTGCCCATTCTTAGCACGAATCTACAGTTCCTCGTCCATTCTCCTTGACTTCAACTCAAAATGGTATTGTAAAACAAAAATCAACATGGAATCAGAGTAATGAAAACTATTAGCAAAATCAAGATCACTTCTTGGTACAGTGGTTTGTGACTGCGTAATTGCTTCCTTGTTGGCTTGTGAGCAGGGCGGCTGCAATAAATCTCATTGAAAATCTGTTAAAGCAACCAGACAAGAAAAAGAAATGACACTTTCTTGCCAACCTTGTCCGAGAAATTGATCCATAGAGTTAAATCTCTGAGCTATTTTGAAATGTAGGCATGAGCTCACTATAGTGTACGCCAGCTCGGCATGGCAGCTTAAGGTTGGAAAACCTGACCCATCTAGCCTTATACACGAACATACAGCATACTTACATGTACAGTATGTGCAAAACCATGCACAGCCATGGCATCGCCAACCAGGTTACACATTCATATAACGTGCACAAACTGCTTGTGTTTACAATGTATTACTTTTCTTCGCGAAGCACACATGAACTCACATTCTTGTACCTTATTTATGCAGTTAATTGGTGTTTGGTTCCAAAAAGATGGCTGTTTAACAGAACATCCTGTACTAGGCACATCATCAAATGCGACCTCAATGTTCATTAATGAAAAAATTTATGCAAAGTGCAGTTTCTACTACATTGTTGGCTATACCTACATGTACAAATTACTGATTTAATGAGCATATGGCAATGACTACCTTCTGATAAATAATACACCAAACAACTCTGGTTGAGTGACTCTACTCCTGTTACTTTGTGCCGTGATGTAGTTGATCTACGTGATTGGGATTTATGCTGCGAAATGTGCGAGAAGTGTAAAATTGTCTACTATACATGGAAAATTTGTGTGTTCTGTCATGTAAAAGGAATACCAAGTCACAACCTGACATTCCTCTTTTGTGTCAACTATACATGTAGTTTTATATTGTTCCATGTGTTTGAAGTTTTCAAAGACAATGCATACTTTGCGCAGTGCCCAATGTCAGTGCAAGTGCTAACAGGAAATCTGAAATTCTGAAAATGATGCCGATATATAAATTGTCACTTCTGCTGTCTCACTGTGTGGTCTTTTTTCCTATGATGTCCACTGTATGGTACAAGGAATCATGGGTGGCTTTCATGACCCGATTCCCGTTTTGTGAAAATAAGTTAAATTCAAAATGTAAAATTAAAAAGGGGACCACTCTCTTTGGGTGAGGAATAAACCCTTTTTATGCTTTTAAGGTTTTACGGGGGGATTAATTTGTTAAGTTTCATTTGCTCACCAGAGGGTGCAACAATACACTGTAACATTTGGAATATAAACTGCAGTTTATATGTTGATTCTCACCCTGAAAATGTCCCTGAGTGGCTGATACGGCAACGTAAGAAGAATAAAATCAGTCAATAAACGCCGCACCTTGCCTCAGCTCAGCCTAGCCAGGGCCGCGGCAGCCGCTGAACCAGCCAGCCAGGTGTACAAGCAACGAGCATTCTGGGCGCGGGGACAAGGCAGTCATTTTTTTGTTGGTTGCTGTTTGCATTGGCTCAACTCACTTGTAATGAAAGAAACCGGTCTAGAAAGACTTAATAGATTTGTTAGTGCACTGTAAGTACTGTTCACACCACAAATCGTGTGGTCAGTCTGTTCGTTTTCGTATTGATTTTATTTGATTGTATTTCGTATAACAGTTGTATAATCCATGTTGCTTTTTATTTCACTGGTCTTTTGGTTTTGAAAAAAACCTTCAGCATGGTCAACAGTATATGTCTTGCACACAGGCAAGGTCCGTTCGTAATTTAAGTAATATAAACGTTTATGCACAAAAATCCTCCTCAGAAAGCACCAAACAATTTTTGTTCGACCATGTCCAGGTCTTGGTTCAATGATGCAAGACTGCACTTGATAAAATTCTTTGTTAGCTTGTGAACAATATGGATTAATGAGATTAGTTATGGATCTCTGTCCTGCTCTCCACGTGTGTACAGTACATGTACGGAATGTAATGTGCATGCTTTGTGCATAGCAGTGGAAACGCAACACGACAGAATAATGACCGAAAAAATGGAGTTCATAAGCCCGACATTTTTGGCTTTGATGAAGCACGGCCTACCTATACTAAAAAGCCAGTCCATATATAATGTATTTTAACAATTCTTATAAGTGCCGATCTGCCATGCTAACAGTGGTGTTTATTCTCTACTTCAACAAAAAGGGTATTGTAACACAAAAATCAACATGGTGTCAAGATCACTATTAATGAAATCAACTTAACAAAAATCAAAAAGATTATTCCCATCATTTATTATATCAATATGGAGGTTGACTGATTTTGCTTGCTTGTAATATACATTGTAAATAGGCATATTCAAAGAGCTCGCTTGTATTTTAGGGAGCCTGGCGGGGTTCAGTGTATGCGAAAAAAAACCTATTTTTATTTGGCAAAAAAAAAATGAACAAAAAATGTTTAGGCCTTACAGGTAAAATAGTTTCGCAGGCCACATTTGAGAATGTAAGATCAGAAAAAGAGTTTTCTTCGTCCTTAACTAGTAAAAACTTACACCCCTTACATTTTGTACATGAGGTAAATAACCAATAACTCATTAATTTCTAAAAGTCACCCAACTCTTCTGGGTCATTGCGTCATTGCTCAGATAAGACAACCGAGTTAGCCCGCTGTGAATAAAGGTAAAATACTGCCCAAATAAGCAATTAAGCAAGGGGCAGCTGCTTTACCAAACTTTGGCGAAACACTCGTCCACATACATGGATCTGAAGCATCGGATTCATACACGGAAGTTGGGGCAGCCAGCACCTGTGCAGTGCAGTGGGCCAAAGACCCAACTCGCTACACTCTTCCTTTGCGGACGTCTCAGAAATTTTAACGCAGATTTATCCAATAGCAAAAATTGTTACGTGCAGTGTGGAGACCATGGAGCCGTTATATACATGTGGCCATCGCCAGTGCGTGCCCAATTACATCCTGTAAAATTCAATGGTGTTTAATCATTTATAGACAAATAAATCATTCTTTTGGAAAGTTTGAATTGTCATTGAAAATACTTTATAAAATGTGTTGAAGTGGAGTTCGGGCGAGGGAAATTTCAAAACAAAAGTAGACGGGAGTCGCCAGAATGGAGAATTTCGGAGGGGCACGGGTACAGTGTCGGGGTAAAAACCAAAAACAGAATCATCTGCCGCCCCGAGTGAAAAGCAGCATATAAAATATTTGCCTTCTGTAAAATGGTAGACCTATTGGTTTGTGGCATACATCTGCAACCATACCTATCAAATCCAAAACTATGCAGGATTTCAAGCCCCGGTGAGTATCACGTTTGCACAATCATCGCTGGTGATGTCTGTTGCATTCTGTAGTTGTATGCCTGCCGTTCACGTTGCGCATAGTTTGCAAAGTCTTCGCAGATTGCTCATGTATCTTCGAAAACAGGGCTTTGGAAATTGTGGTTGTAGACACTTCCCATCGATGGCAGCCGAATATTTGCGAATCGGTAGCTATCTTCGCGAAGGAAAAGGACTCCCCACAAAAGTAATTTTTAAAGAAAAGCACCCCGCGAATAATGAAGATATTTTCGATTGGTAGGGTACATGTACATGTATATTACTCCAATACAACTCACCATTGTTCTTGAATTGCGATGACCTTTATACACCATCTTGACTTCTGGCATATCTATATTATCGAGTTGCATCTCTCCTTTTTCTCGTATCTCTCCTTTCTCTCGTGCTTCCCTACGAGCTAGGAACAACTCCCTTAATCTGGACTCTGTCACACTGGGTGGGCGAGGCCTTCTTGTTTCTTCACTGCAGTGTGCAAAAGATTAGGATCTACATGATTATTGACACAGGTTTCGGAATGAAGGTCACAACTTTACCTTATATGACTGGAAAAATAAACTCAGAAATTAACTTTTAAAATTCTACATAAAATCAATTTTTTTCCAAGGTAAAACCACATCTTTCTTATGCCTGTCATCCACTGCTGGCCAGTGTATCTACTGCATGAACTGCCTGCTTTTTGCCAGGTATGATGTTCAGTATTACTGGACTCTTGGCTGGCACAGAGGCTGTTGTCAGCACCTCAAGTCACTGAAGCGAATGGCTTAGGGTGTGCTTCACTCCACTGCTGAATAGAAGTTCTTAGCAAATTAGTGTCTATTGCATAAAAAAGCTTCCTTGATTGCCAGCAATATTTTTGTCATACACTGGTAGCTGGGACACATGGTGTCCTTGGTACTAACTTTTTACAGTGCTTATTTCTGTAAAAAAAAAAAAATTCTCAACATCATTAATATGTAGTTTGTCACAGTTAGTCTTTGTCACAGTTTCATAATAAACCTCTTGAGAAAATGGGTCTTTCCATACCAAGCATGACTATAATAGAAAGTAGGTTTGCGAT